ATATATATCCTTTAAAATACCTTCAATATCAAGACAGAGGCGATGAAACCAATGCATTGGACAGCTCTCACACATAAAGGTTTGGTTTCGTGCCACTTGTTGTTGCTGGAAAGTCTGGTGAGCACTATGGAAAGCTTGTTTTAGGGAAAACATCACTTCATCTACCTGAAATAAATATAGCACAGCAAATGCAATTTATAAACACAACAACAACAATAAAACATCAGCACTGGTCCTGCAGAGATGAGACTCAAGCTTAGAGCATGGAAAATACTGCTTCTTCTTGTCCTTCTATTATAAAACATTCCAAGGGGTCTCATGTAATACAAATCATTAAGATAGAAAATTTAAAGTTTTCCAGTACTTGAGAAACTTAACCTCTTTATGTTTTTGTTTTTCTTTAATCAGAAATTAACAGTAACAAAGAAACTTTATGTATTTCCACGGGGTCCCTGAAAGTGTTCTATTTCAAGAGTAAATAAAACCAAAATTAAGAGTAACAAATTTTTTTCTTGCTTTTGAACTTCATATGTCATGCTCTGTTGTAGCCTACAGTGTGCATGCAAGAGATTTTACAGACGTCATGACAGTAAAAATTACGACGTTAAGCTTCCCTTATGTGACATCACTTTAGTGTCTATTGATTGACTGAAAGATAACACACTACTGTACGGTGATGCAAGTGGTTAGTCCAGGTGACCCCTCCAATTTGCCTTCAGACCACTTTGTGGGAAATAAAATTTGTACCATCTGTGTCTGGCTTCAATGATTATGGAAATAAAAACACACCTTGAAAAAAAACATCTTTTCTAGTATACATATGTCAACAGATCAGTGAGATTTTCTAAACCTTTTTTTAAAACAAGTATTTACTGATATGTATGCATCTGAGAGCTATAAGCTTTTAGCTACTGTTTTAAGTCTGCAAACAAAATTAGTGAATTTGATTTTGTAAGTTAATCAAACAAAATTCTTTATTCTTGAAAATTATTTATAAGATATATCTACTAACCACTTGTTCTCTTTGGCAACGAAAAACATATCCAACATAAGTATCAGCCCCTGACAGTATCTCTCTACAGATAAATCCAAAATGATCTGGACTCTTAACTCCCTAAAAGAGGCAGAAATTATTATGTAACTTAGAATGAACACCATTTACCTACATAATATACAAGAAAATAAACACTATCAAGAAAAATAATCATATTTAAAACTTCTTCTTTACTTTCCTCAATATTTATTCTGAGAAGATTAGAAATTTAAGTTTGAGGTAAAATCACACTACAAAATCATATTTAATATTTTAAATTTACAAGGAATTATACTCTTTCAATTATATATTTACCACATAAAAATCATAAAGTTTAAGTGTTTTTGAAAAACTTCATTTTATCACAGTAATACACCAAGCTAGTTCTATCTAGGTATGTATATACACTTATTATATGAAAAGTATCCAAGTTAATAATACACATCTATAAAGAGAGAAAAACAGTTATAAAAGAAATAAAATACACATACACACACACATCTACCTTAATATGAACCATAGAGCAATGAATATTTTAGTTTAATTTAAATATAACAGTTCTTATTTCAGCAGTTTATCCTTTAATCTAAAAAACAATAAGTTATGTTTACTCTCACTTTACAGAACTGATTTTGGGGTTTATTGAAGAACCGATCATTGTAAATTTTGACCCAGAGCTGTTCTCTCTGTGTATCATTCAAGCCCTGAACTTTTTGTAACAACTTATCACTTTATCAATTTGCAGGGGACAAAATACCTGGGTCCAGATCACAATTTGCAAGTCAAAACCACCCCAGTTGCAAATCCCTTTTCTCTTTGCTTAGCATCACATGTGAATCATTCCTTACTCTTGTAAAACATCTCCAAGACCTCCAACAACACAGTGAAAGTGCTGTAATGTTTCAGTTTGATATAACAAAGCCAAAACTGATGTTCATTTCTCAGAAATTCCCACTAATGGCACATACAGTATTTTCATACTTTGTCCTGTGCATATCATATACACATACATTTTGTAGTAGTCTGTTCCTAATATTTGGAATGAGCCCAGTCAGTGCCTGCATCCTAGCCAACTAGACTAGACTATGTACTTAGAGTACATGTGCTGCACATTTAGCATTGAGCTGGTTATGAACTCTCTCAATACAGGTTTAGTCCCATGAATCAACCAACCTGACCATTTTTGCTTGTATATAGTTTTAATACTATAACTTTTAATACAGTATGTGTGTCTTCGCAAAATTTGGCAGACTTTTAGTAAACATTACACAAAAATTCAGTTGTTTAATGAAGTATTTTTACTAAAGATTTGTCTGTGAACATAGTTGTTTTTTTTACCAGTCCAAGTGCAAAATGAGTTATGTTAATATTTAAAATACTTTTCTTCATCTCTAAAATCTCAAATGTCATTTACGTTATGATCAAAAACCTCCTAAATGCATTTTAAGTATTTTATTTCAGTAAAACTATATGTTTTATCTGTTATTTTCTCTACCTTAACTCTATACAAGGTTGGTCAATTTGACCGATCTCGTAACCACCAAAAAAAAATCTAAATTATTTTCTTCAAATTGTAACATGAAACTACATTTGTATATCCTAAGTAGCTTTAAGTTCATTACAATATACATCTATTTATATTTGAATTTTATTCTTTTATTGCCCTTTGAACCATGTATAACTAACTACTAGTACTATTTGTGTCATTGTAATACAAGTTGTAAATTACTTGGGGGAACATGCGACTCACATCATCATCATCATCATGTGCACTTGTGATTACATCAGTCACCCTTTCTTTGTGTAGTTAAACTGCCCAATATCTTCTCTCACTGTTTACCTCTACATCTTTTCCCCACAAATTTCCCAGTTGTTACCAAGTGTTCCATCCCTTTCTCCTTATCACATGACCAAAGAATGCTGCTCGTCTTTTTTGTACTTTTGTCATTAATGTTCTTTTTGTTTCTGTTTGTAGAACTTCTTCATTTGTTTTCCGGTCTTTGTAGGAAACCCTAAGCATTCTATGCAGGAACCATATTTTGGTTACATTAAGTGATTTTTCCATTTGTTTGTTTATTGTCTATGATCCGCAACCGTACATCAACATTGGTTTGATGCAGCAGCTAATAACTTTTTTATGCACTTTCCTTGATATACATTTGTTAGTCAATAAATTTTTCATCTTCATAAATGTTGTCTTAGCCTGTGCAATTCTGCTCTTGACCTCATTTTGACATCTGCCTCCTGATGTAATCCATGTCCCTAAGTACTTGAACTTGCAAGTTTGATTGAGAAGGGGCCCATTTAATGATAAAGTGCATTTTGGACTGGTTTCTTTCTTTGATATAATCATGGTGTTTAGGCTGAGTCCAATATTTCCACTTTCTTTATTTACAATGTCAATTAAGGATTGAAGATCATTTTCCATTCCTGCTATTAATACTGTGTCATCAGCATATCTGATGCTGTTTATACTGTTGCCTCCAATACTTATGCCTGGCATGTCTTCTATCTCTCTCATAATCATTTCACTGTACAAGAAGAACAGATCACGGGATAACACACATCCTTGACAGACTCCTCTTTTTATCTTCTGATATTGGCCAAGCTCGTTCTCAACTCTGATGGCTGCTGTTTGTTCCCCATATATATTTTTGATGATTCTCATATCTTTACCATCTAAATTGATATTTTCAAGAATTCTTATTATGATTTCATGTCTCACTTTGTCAAATGCCTATGTATAATCTATGAAACAAAACATACACATTTTTCTGTACTTTGATTGCATGCTCTATATGGTTCTCGGGATGTAAATTGCATTGGCTGTGCCTTTACCTTAAACAAATCCACATTGTTCCTCTGTTATTTCAGGTTTGATTCTATTTCTTGCTCTCATCATAACTATTTTCAATAGTATTTTTGTCAGATGATTCATAAGACTTATTGTATGGTGTAGTACACATTCGATTGCACCTGGTTTCTTTGGTAATGCTATGTATATTGATTTTGATAAGTCTGTTGTGATATGGACTATTTCGTAAATGTTACTTAAAAAACTTGTGACCATATCAATACCAAACTCATTTAATCCCTTAATCATTTTGTTAATAGTGTTGTCTTGTCCAGGGCTTTTCCAGCTCTCACTTTCTTTATTACACTTTTTACTTCTTTCAAAAGAGGAAGGCCCTCAAAATTATTCCTGAATATAAAGTTTTCAATTCTGTCATCATCATAAAGTTCCTTGATGTATTCTGACCACCTCTTCAAGATTTATTCTTTTTCATGATGATGTCCCCTTCCTTTGATTTTAGGCAACCTGTTGATGAACATATTCTTCTCCCACATACTTGGTCAATTCTCTTGTACATTATGTCTTATGTCTTAATTGAAAAGCTCTTCTATTTCTTTGCTGCTGTCATTTAACCATTCCTTCCTTTGCCTGTATACATTTTTCTGATATCTCTATTTAGTCGATTGTATTCATCCTTATTATTCCTGCTTTCTCCTCTTTTGTCCATTTGATTAAAAATATCATCTGTCATCCATTTTTTCTTTCTTCTTCTTTGAACTAGTGGTATTGTGTCTGTGGCTGTTTGGTTCATAGATTCTTTCAACAATTCCCATTATTTCTCAATGTCCACTAACCCTTCTAGCAACTTGTTCTTTACTGCTACTGCAAACTATGTCTTGATTGCTGGATTTGGTTTCAGAAGTGCCAGGTTGAGCTTGGCATTTTTGACTGTCTTTTTCGTTTTCTTCAGCTTTATTCTGATCTTAGTAAGCACTGATTTATGATCGCTGCTACAATCAGCCCCTGGTAAAGCTTTGCATGTTAACATTGCATTCATTTATCAAGATGAAGTCATTCTGGTTTCGAGCACTGCCTCCAGGGCTCTTCCACGTTCACAATCTCTGTTTATGCTGTCTGCTTCAGGTATTTCCAAACACGAGGTTGTGCATTTTTGCCCATTCTATTACTCTATCACCTTTCTCATTCCTAAGCCATATGGACCTACAGTGTCTTCCACTCTTTCTTCTCCAACTTCAGCATTAAAGTCTCCTTGGACGATGACAATGTCCTGAGACTTGTATTGTTTCATGGTAGTTTCCAAATCATCATAGAATTGATCGATTTTGTCTCCGGTGCTATCTGATGTTGGGGCATAAACTTGAATAATGTTGGAATCAAGTGGTCTAGGAAGTTTGATCATCAGCACTCGATCTGATATTGTCCAATATCCTTTCATGTTCTTTTCATATTCTGGGTCTAATACAATTCCAACACCAGATATATAACTTCATTAGTTATATCTTATAACATTGCTTACATCACAAAAGAGCTAAGTACCACATCTAACAACCCATTCCAAAGACCAACCTTCCTGTTAGAAAAATAAAGCTGTCTTAGCTGAAGATTATTTCTACCTTGCCAAAACTTGAGTCACCTTGTCTTAACCATTCTCATCATTAAATACAAAGAAGGATGATGCATCAACATTATCAATTCCCTTTACCATCTTAAACACCTCAATTAGATCCCCGCTAACTCTTCTTTTTTCAAGAGAAAACAAGTTCAGAGATCTTAACCAATCTATGTATGGCAATACCAGTTATCATACTAGTAACTCTCCTCTAAACCCTTGCCCATAATTCAATGTCCTTTCTATGGTAAGGAGCCTATGACTGAACATATTATTATAAACTTGGCCTAACCAAAGGCCTATAAAATGGCATTATAATATCTTTAGACTTTTATTCAATATTTATGTAGATACAACCTAAAGTCCTAATTTCCCTACTACTAGCAAAAGCACATTGCTTAGATGGCTTAAGAAGCTGATCAACCAGAAAACAAAGGTCTATTTCTTCCAAAACACTTTTAAGGTTAGTCCCACCAAAATTATACTCATAATTCAAATTATGATATCCCAGATAAATAACCTTGCATTTTTTATAATTAAAAGCCATATGTCATTTATTTGCCGAACTCATTGACTGATTTAAATCCTTTTGTAAAGCAGAAGCATCCTCTTCATAGTTAGAAACACCCAAAAATTTAATGTCATCAACAAATTTAAATAATCTATTGCTAATTCTTTCATCTATATCATTAATGTAAATCAAAAAGAGCAAAGGTCCTAACACTAAGTCCTGAAGTATCCCACTTGTGACATTAATCCAGTTTGACTAAACTTCATTTATAAAAACCCTCTAATTTCTTCCATCCACCCTCTCTTCTATCCAATTAGCTAACCCATCCCCCACATCTACAGAAATAACTTTTTAACAAGTTTTTTTATATGGCACTTTGCCAAATTCTTTATGAAAATCCAGATACACCAAATCCACACTAATACCCTCATCTAAATATGCAGTAATCTCTTCAAAGAATTCCAAAAAAATTGTAAGACAAGATTTTCCCCAAGTGAAACTATGCTAACTATCTAACAAAATTTTAAACATTGTTAAATTGACTTAGCAAAGCATCTTTTATCAAAACTTTCCAAAATGTTTCCCACAACTAATACAAAACTAATAGGCCTATAATTATCAAGACAATTTTTATCACCTCTCTTGAAAAGAGGAGAAACATTAGCTAACATCCAATCTTCTGCCACCTACCCACTATTCAAGGACTTATACAGCCCTTAACCTTTTACAAAACCCTTGGGTAAATATTATCTGGCCTAGAAGCTTTATCATTCTTTGAACTCCCCAATTTTTCTTTAAAAGGGTCAGAATTAATGTGATCATCTTGTTCAATCTTGTTTCCATCTAGTAACTGTTCAGTACGAGGAATACTACTTAAATCTTCATTAGTAAAAGTTGAAGAAAATGTAGAATTTAATAATCATCAGATATTAGCCGTCCTGTATCCTCCCTCAAAGGCCCAAAAGGCACAGTGTTTTGTTATTCAACTAAGATTACCATTAATTGCAATCACTTTGACACTTAAAATACTACAGCTTCTCATAAATTATTTAGCAAACATCAAATTATACATTAAATCCAATTACTTTACTCATTATGATCTTAGGCTGAGCTGTAAGGTAAACCTCTAGTAAGTTTATCAAAATATCTTTATTTATATATAAAAGATTTTAGCTTCAATCTCTGTTTTTAATCAAAATGTTGTGTCTAATTTCTGTTGTTAAATTTTTTAAAACATACTTGAGAACAGTGAGAGATGTCATTAAACATTCGGTTGAGTAAAACTTGCTTCTTATCAGTGCTGATAAAACAGAGTTCCATACGTCCAATAAGGAATAGCATAGTACGGTTTCCTTGTTGTCGAGAGCGAGAACGACCAAAGTCAATGCTGCTCCCACTATTAACACGGGCTCGATAAATAGGAAGTGAGTTCTGTTTGGTAGCTCGTGGCATGTCACCACTGCAAGACCTGACCCGGGTAGACTCACCACAGCCCTGCAAGTCATTCACAATGGCAGCTTTGGTTGGAGCATCAAGACTCTGGGTGTGAGTAATGAGTGAATGGTCCTCAGGAGGAAGCAATAAGTGTTGAGAAGATGATCTTTTCACTTCGTAGTCATGTAAACTTTGGATAACAGATGATCGGGCAGCTGTGTCCATACTCTGAGTATGTGTCACCAGAGATCGTGTGTCCATCACTGATCTTGACATACTATCATTACTGTCAAGAGGTCTAAGAGAGAACTCCATACTATCTCCACTTCCTTGCCGACTACGGTTCTATAATAAAACATTAAAATTTAAAAACAATATCTAGCCAAATCATTCCAAAAACTGAAATATGGGAAAAGTAGCATCCCTATAATCAAAATCCTTAACTAAACCACTGCAAAAAAAAAGTATACATCCAAAACAACACCACAATATACATCTTAGATCCAAAACTAAGAATAAGTCACAAGAACACCACTATAAAACAATAAATGAACCAAACCATTCCACTGTAAACAGATAACAACTTGAACCATTCCACTGTGAACAGGTTAGACCCCAAACTACACCACTTGTAGACACAAGCAGGCCTACAAATATATGGCACTGAAACACTATTAACCTAGACCCCTACAGAAAGCTTTACTCAAAGAATCAAGCAGGCCAACAGATACAGAGCACTAAAACACAACCAACCTGGAAAATCACCATCAACAACCTAAACCACTACAGTTTTACTTGAAAAAAACAACCAGGCCTACAGATACAGAACATTGAATCACCATCAATAACCTAGATTACTACAGAAATCTTTACCTGGAAAACCAAACAGGCCTACAGATACAGAACATTAAATCACTATCAACCTAGACCACTACTGAAGGCCTTATTTCAAGAAACAAGCAGGCCTACAGATATAGAGCAGTGAATCACTATCAACCTAGACCACTGCTGAAGGCCTTATTTCACGAAAGATACAAGCAGGCCTACAGATATATGGCACTAAATCACTACTACAATAGGCTTTTACTTGAAGAAACAAGCAGTTTACAGACACAGAGCATTGAAACATCACCAACCTAGATCACTACATAAAGCTTTAATTGAGAAAACAGGCAGAAGGGCACTAAAACACTAACAATCTAGACCAACACTGAAAGATTGACTTGAAGAACCTAGTAGGCCTAGAGACACAAAGCACTGAAACACCAAATCAAATCACTACAGAAAACCTTACTTGAAGAAACAATCAGGCCTATGTGCAAAATGCAATTATATAGTTAACTTGCCAAGCAATTTAACTTACACAATGTTTAAAATCATTTTCATGCTCCTTAACAAACCACGCTGATCTGAAGAGGGGACACAAAAGTGATCCAAATCATCAAACTTAACTTTCCATTCAACCAAATTGTCAATAATTTTTCACTTTGCATGTTTTTTCTAAACTCTATTTGCCAATAATGCCTCAAAAAAAGTTAGCTGATCTACATTGTAGCTGAATCTGAAGAAACAGATATACTCCTAACAAAAGCAGAGTTTACTCTGGAGAGCTGTTTATCAATCAAACTAACGTGACCAATGTCAACTAATATTAAAGAAACTGCTCAGTGCCCAGCTATCAAAAGATCTCTTCAAAGGTGCTGCACACAAAAAAAAATGTTGTCTACCCCCATTTGAAGGAAAGAAGCAATACTAACATTTTCTAAGTAGTCTTACCTTAAGAGAGGTGATTGGTATTAATAAAAGAAACATCAACCACAATTCAATTTATTTGTTCTACAGAAAATATGTTTACTAAAAATTTATTTTCTAGTTACATTGTTTCAAATATGATCAATATAACTAATTCCAGACTTTTGTAACAGAAGAAAAATTTATCTTTAAGTAAAGACACCAGCTTATCACAATCTAAGATTTGTGTGTAACAGAATAAATAAGTTGGCTACAATGTTCGAAGCACATTAACACAACTCAATTTAAAAAGATTTACTTAAATAAAAGTTATATTTTCATGAAGGTTTTTAAAAGTTCATCAGCTTAAATGACTTGTCAGTTGAGAAAAAAAAAAGGGTCTATCTGCACCTCATGGAAGTGAAACACCATTAATATATCCAACTTTGATAATTAAAGCCAGAACAGTTTTGAGCTATCAGCACAAAGTCTCAATACAATAATTCAGATTTCTCACCACAGAAGACTCCATTTCATTTTCTAGAGAACCTTTGACACTTTGGTTCTCCTCATTTCCAACCACCTGATCAGCCAAGTGATTTTCTATGGGTTCTACTACCATCTCCAAACTGTGTGGAAGGCTCTTACAGCTGGCTCCACTGTCACGTCGCTGCCTGTGCTGAGACTTTTCCTGGTCTTGCTTGGCTCGTAACTTCTCAAGTTCATAAAGTCTGAATTTTTCTACTGCTTCATCAATAAACGATGGTGGTGCTCTTTTATGAGAAACCTACAATAAAAATATTATAATAAGGAAATAAAGAACAAACTAATATTCATTTATCCAGTAAAGGATAACCATAAACTAGTTTATTAACAACAAAAAAATATGTATAAAAGTTTATGAAAACAACTGAAAATATTTGATTAATAATTTTATAGTAAAGAATTCTTCATACCTCAAAAAAGATTACTTTCTATACTTTTATATGGCATTCAGGTTATTATTTAAACTTTAACAATTGACAAAATAACAACTGCACTTGGTATGTCTAATGAAAATTGACAAAATGATTAAAAACCTTGATTTTGCCAATATAGAGTACTTCATACTGCTGAGAGTTGGTTAATAAGTTGTCCAACCATGAAGAGTTGCCCCAGCTAAAAGCACTTGATATAGAAGACTGATGACTCATCTCTTTTGTCATTTCTCTCATACTGGTGAACAGCTCTAGAACCTAGAAATCCACAAAGGTTATTCTTAATCATCATTTATACCCCACACAGATCTAGAACTTAAAAATATACATAAAATATCCTTAATCATCTTTTATATCCCTATACAGATCTAGCACTTAAAAATACACATAAAACACTCTTAATCATCTTTTATATCCCTATACAGATCGAGCACTTAAAAATACACATAAAACACTCTTAATCATCTTTCATACCCTACACAGATCTAGAACTTAAAATTTCACGTAAAATATCCTTAATCATCATTTATACCCTACACAGAATTAGAACTTAAAAAATACACAAACTATCCTTAATCATCTTTTATACCCCAACACAGATCTAGAACTTAAAAATACAAACAAAATATCTTTAATCATCTTTTATACCTCAACACAGATCTAAAACATAAAAATATACATAAAATATACCTTAATCATCTTTTATATCCCTATACAGATCTAGCACTTAAAATACACATAAAATATCCTTAATCATCATTTATACCCTACACAGATCTAGAGCTTAAAAATATACATAAAATATCCTTAATCATCTTTTATACCCCAACACAGATCTAGAACTTAAAAATACAAACAAAATATCTTTAATCATCTTTTATAACTCAACACAGATCTAAAACATAAAAATATACATAAAATATACCTTAATCATCTTTTATGTCCCTATACAGATCTAGCACTTAAAATACACATAAAACACTCTTAATCATCATTTATACCCTACACAGATCTAGAACTTAAAAATATACATAAAATATCCTTAATCATCATTTATACCCTACACAGATCTGGAACTTAAAATTTCACGTAAAATATCCTTAATCATCATTTATACCCTACACAGATCTGGAACTTAAAATTTCACGTAAAATATCCTTAATCATCATTTATACCCTACACAGATTTAGAACTTAAAATATCCTTAATCATCTTTTATATCCCTACACAGATCTAAAACATAAAAATACACACAATATACCTTAATCATCTTTTATACCCCTACATAGATCTAGAACTTAAAAATACACAGTGTCTACATAACACAAGTTTTCACTTGTTTCTGTTGGCTTTGTTTTTGTTCTTGTTGGCTAAACATCATAATGTGAACATAACACAACAGTTTTTCACTTGGTTATGTTAACTTTGTGTTTTGTTCTTGTCAACAGATCTTCGCTTGGTTCTGTTGGCTTTATGTTTTCTTCTAGTTGGCCAAACATTGCAGTTTCTAAATAACACAACAACTTTTAATTTGGTTCTCCTGGCTTTGTGTTTCATTCTTGTTGGCTAAATATTATAGTGTCTATGTAACATAAATTTTCATTTGGTTCTTTTAGCTTTGTTTTGTTCTTGTTGGCTAAACATCATAATGTGAACATAACACAACAGTTTTTCACTTGATTATGTTAACTTTGCATTTTGTTCTTGTCAACAGATCTTCACTTGATTCTGTTGGCTTTATGTTTTCTTCTAGTTGGCTAAACATTGCAGTTTCTAAATAACACAACAACTTTTAATTTGGTTCTCCTGGCTTTGTGTTTCATTCTTATTGGCTAAACATCATAGTGCCTTCTACAGAACACAACAGCTTTTAACTTGACTCTGTCGGCTTTGTGTTTCATTCTTGTTAAATAAATGTCACAATTTCAACATTAGACAATAAGTTTGCACTTGGTTCTGTTGGTTTTGTGTTTTGTTCTTCTTAGTTAAACATCATGGTATCTACATAACAAAACTTTTCACTTTTAACTTGACTCTGTCGGCTTTGTGTTTCATTCTTGGTAAATAAACCTCACAATTTCAACATTAGACAATAAGCTTTCACTTGGTTCTGTTGGCTTTGTGTTTTGTTCTTCTTAGTTAAACATCATGGTATCTACATAACAAAACTTTTCACTTTAACTTGACTCTGTCGGCTTTGTGTTTCATTCTTGGTAAATAAACGTCACAATTTCAACATTAGACAATAAGCTTTCACTTGGTTCTGTTGGCTTTGTGTTTTGTTCTTCTTAGTTAAACATCATGGTATCTACATAACAAAACTTTTCACTTCGTTATATTGGCTTTTTGCTTTGTTCTTGTTGGCACTAAACCATAGTTTCTAAATAACACAAGTTTTCATTCAGTTCTGTTGGTTTTATATTTTGTTCTTGTTGGCTAAACATCACAGTGTCTACAAAACATAGTAGGTTTTCACTTGGTTTTATTGGCTTTGTGTTTTGTTCTTGTTGGTTAAACATCATAGTGTCTACATAAAAGTTTTCACTTGGTTCTGTTGGCTTTGTTTGTTCTTGTTGGCTAAACACCACATTGTCTACATATCACAACAGGTTCTGTTAGCTTTGTATTTTGTTAGTTAAACATCAAAGTGTCTGTGAAACACAAGTTTTCCTTTGGTTCTGTTGGCTTTGTTTTGTTCTTGTTGGCTAAACACCACATTGTCTACATAACACAACAGGTTCTGTTAGCTTTGTATTTTGTTAGTTAAACATCAAAGTGCCTGTGAAACACAAGTTTTCCTTTGGTTCTGTTGGCTTTGTTTTGTTCTTGTTGGCTAAAAACAACATTGTCTACATAACACAACAGGTTCTGTTAGCTTTGTATTTTGTTAGTTAAACATCAAAGTGTCTGTGAAATACAAGTTTTCATTTGGTTCTGTTGGCTTTGTTTTGTTCTTGTTGGCTAAACACAACATTGTCTACATATCACAACAGGTTCTGTTAGCTTTGTATTTTGTTAGTTAAACATCAACGTGTCTGTGAAACACAAGTTTTCATTTGGTTCTGTTGGATTTGTTTTGTTCTTGTTGGCTAAACATCACAGTTTCTGCATAACACAACTTGTTTTCACTTGGTTCTGTTGGCCTTGTGTTTTGTTCTTGTTGGTTAAACATCATAGTGTCTATGTAACATAAGTTTTCACTTGGTTCTGTTGGCCTTGTGTTTTGTTCTTGTTGGTTAAACATCATAGTGTCTATGTAACATAAGTTTTCACTTGGTTCTGTTGGCCTTGTGTTTTGTTCTTGTTGGTTAAACATCATAGTGTCTACGTAACATAAGTTTTCATTTGGTTCTTTTAGCTTTGTTTTGTTCTTGTTGGTTAAACATCATAGTGTCTAAATAACACAATTTTTCACTTTGTTCTGTTAGCTTTCTCCTTTGTTCTTGTTAGCTAAACAGTGTCTATATAACACAACAAGTTTTTACTTGTTTCTGTTGACTTTGTGTTTTGCTCTTTCTGGCTAAACAGTGTCTACATAACAACACGTTTTCACTTAGTTCTGTTTATTCGTGCTTCGTTCTTTGTCAGTTAAGCAACACAGTGTCTACATATCCCGATTTTTTACCTGCTTCTATTGGCTTTGTGTTTTGTTCATGTTGGGTAAACATCATAGAAAGACTGAAATCAAACTAACTAAAACGGCTATATCTATATGGGTAGATATTGGCCACCGTTATTTGGAGGTTTGTTCGATCAATTTGTTAACATACACTTAGTAAGATTAGTTTTAAACATAAAAAAACATTAGATTTAGCATAAAACATGGTTAAATATAATTCAAAAAAGGTTTAGAAAATCAGCAGAGAAGAATGTCTAACAGTATCCACTTTTATAAAATCCGATCTATTTCACAGTGTGTAGGATACTTTCTTCGCAAGCTTTAGCGTTATGCGTTTAGCTGACCGAAGGCCTTACTGATCTTCACAGTAGTAACAAAGAAGTAAAGTTGAATTACGTAGTACGGAACTTTTGGAAATGCGTAAGGTAACTTGTATAGAGTTACAGGCAAATCAGCTGAGTGTTAATACTTTAAATATACTGCTATTCTTCATTTAACTGAACTTTACACGGCTCGTGTTTATAACAACCGTGATTCCCTGCGGCCTACAACAACAGTTTAGCTGGAACCTCGGTTCGTGTTATTAACGATTTCTTAGATTCATTAAATAAACAATATTTTTTCTTTAAAAACTGGAGAATACCGACCAGCATTTGAATCTTACTTCTTGTAATCTCAAAGACTTTGGTAATGATGTTTACCCCTGAAGATTTCATAGAAGCAGACGTGTAAAGAAATTGAAATATTATGTAGTAATGTAACACTGCGATATATATTAAATTGTTTTAACACTAATTTGTACATATTACAGCTGTGTATCAACCTTTTAATCTCTGAGAAATGATTTGAATGGTATTATATGCACGCGTAAAGATTATGTTTTGGTTGAAAATCTTGTTTAGAAAGTAGTAGAATTTATATATAAAGAAGTAAACAAGTCTTGGGAGGAAATGACGGATGTTAATAAAAGAAAATTCCACCATGGATAGTCTACACAAGAGGGGAAGTTGCTACCGACACGCCCGTTTTTCAAGGCTCGTATCTTAACCTAGTTTTTAGATCGTTGTGAACATGATTTCTCTTAGGAATGCATTGTATAAAACACATAGGCCTAAGGATAAATATACTTCAAGTGACTGGCAACCTTCTTAGCATCACTGCATGGCAACTAGAACAGTCAAAGACAGTGAGTGGTAAGAGTGAACTATATTTAGAGCAAGGTTTATTGTCGATGTAACAGAGCAGGCAGGTTGCACATGACGACCACGTGAACTGCACGTTTCTTAAAAGATGCACAATTCTCTATTACACCACAGAAAATGGTATAGAATGTAACCTGCCAGGGATGACATACTTGAAAACTGTAAACTTGGTTAAATAATACGCTCAGGTAAAATATCTTTAAAGTTCATACACACACTATCTTATCATTAAATTCTCACTGGATAAATTAATTATTACTGAATATAAGAAATGCAGGAAAAACCTACAGAAAGATAGAGGCAATAAAGTAAATGAGCTATCTTAGAGGTAAAATTTATATTATAAATTATACAAACTCTGTCATATTTTTAAAGATACAGCATTTAGTAATGGGAGGAGGGTGGTAAAGCAAAATATTTATATTCTACACAAGCTACTATTGGCACATGGAGACAGATACACAGTTAGAAAAAAAAGAACCTCTAAACAGCAAGATTTACCCAAATTATCTCCTACACAATTTTCTCTTACCAAGTAAGGCCAAAATTACAGCATAATGAAAAAAAGAAACTAAAAATAAAATATTCGTGCTTTATCTCCCAGATAGGATACAGATGGAAAAGTAACATAGCAGAAAAAAAAAAAAGTACAAATTACAGAATTATAGCTACACACACACACACACACACACACACACACACACACTTGATATCCTCTCTATAAAATTTATTAATGTTTTAATTTATATCCAAAAGAATTATAGCTACACACACTCACTTGATATCCTCTCTATAAAATGTATTAATGTTTTAATTTATATCCAACAGAACTCAAGCTTTACACTTTTGATTTCTTCTCTATAAAATTTGTTAACGTTTTAATTTTTTCCATCCAATGTTAACCTACCAGCTCAAGAGAAGATGTTTCAACTACTAAAATACCACACACATACTTACAGTACTCTCATCATCAGCCTGGAAGACATGGCATGCCATGGGCAGTTCTGGATTGTCTCGGGTCAAATATGAGAAGCAACTGTGATCCTGAGAAGTTTGAGCAAACTTGGAGATATTCTGAAGATTATGTTCAAATAAAACCTGATTATCATCTGCCATCAACGCTTTTAATGATGAATCAGTCACCTCAATAAAAATTTCTATCTTAGTTTGTCGATGATGAGCTGTCCTCCTGACCTCAGCTATTATCCATGGTAACATAGGCTGGGTATACCGTGGATCAAGTACTGCCTGACCAAGATAGTTAACTCTGTACATTCGCTGAAAGGTAACATGGCTAACATGAAGCCGGTAGTGTGATTCCTTATAATCACACTTTTCCTGTTCTTTTGTTAGTTCCACCAATGGCATTTCATTAACATTGTTTCTCGTTTCATCAAAATTGTTTCTTGAAAGCATCTTGATATATATATATATATGTTCTATTCTGAAGACTTCTGTAAAAGAAAAAAAACAATTTAACTCAGACCTTTCAATTAAAGTAGGTTAACATTCCCTGAATTTCTAAAAATGCTTTATCTGAAACAATGTGAAATTTTTTTTGACAGACAGACAAATAGCCACTCTAAGTTGTATTTAAAAAGCAATAACTGAATGTTTATTGAATGGATCAGGTTCAAAAGCTGAGCTATATTACACATTATCAAGAAGGAATGAAATTTAAGGTAATGTTCACAGTTGTGAATGTCATTCAGCTTACTTTTCATTCATTGTTTATGTACAATACAGGTGTATTGGACAGCAGTTTCACAAAATCAATCCAAACAGTTATATTGTTTTCAAAAGATACACTGCAAAACAAAGAAAAACAGGAATGAAATTCCTGACAAGTAAATATGTTACTGCTTGACATTTGACCCTACAATAAAACATTCTGATGGATTTATCTATAATGTGGAAATAAAATTCCTTAAATTGTATTTTGTTGAGGAAAAAAAGTTATTGAAGAGCTCTTGACCCATATCAGATTTACTACAAAAACCTTGAATAGTTACTACATATTAAAAGAATGTGTGAGGTATCTTTCTAAAATCACTTGAGAAAACTTCTGTTGGTTGCAAGACTGTTAATGTATTCCCATTTCTAAAACAAATGATTTTTGGAAGATAGTAAAGTGACAGACTTATTAGATTTACACCTATTGTTAACAGAAACAAAGAGTGAAAATATCTTAAATAGTTCATCATAAGGCAAATCATTCTACAAATTTATAACTATTAGATGAAGAATTTTGTCACTCAGAAGATGATTTTCCAATTTTAAAACCTAGAGTTAGTGGCTTCTATGTCTTCTAGGATGCGGTGAAAACAAGTCACTAATCTCATACAGGTACCAGATTACAATAATCTTCTCGAAAATATCCCAAGTCATTTCAAATACAGCTAATTGCTTTTGGACAGCAATTTACTTTATTTTAAATATAAATAAACAGCTTCTACAATTATTTTAAAAGCAGCTAACACAACAAGGGACCATTTGGTCATTCAAGACTGTTCCTGTACACCCATCCTCAAAGTGTAAGTAAAAATTCAAATCCACCAATTATTTCAGGAAATTGTCAATTCCATCTCAAGCTCTTACAATGTGCTGGCCTCCTCTAGCGGTATCCTTTTAACAAGCCAATCACCTTATTAGAAAAATAAAACCGTCTTATATGAAGCCTAGCCTGTCTTTTCTAATTCTTAAGCTTGTGCCCTCCCATCCTATTTTCTTTAGAATGTGGCACAAAGAAGCCACAGAGCTATATTCCAATAATCCCCTGGATAACCTTGTAAACCTTAATAAAATTACCTCTTACTAGACTTGACTGGGCAATTATTGGAATTTGCTAATCAAATAATCATCAGAATCATTAATTGATTATAATTAACTAATCAACTATACTCAAAAAGACAGGTGGCTAAAAAACCTAACAACTCATGAGGTTAAAAGTTGGGTTTTGATACCCACAATACGCAAAGCACAGACAGGCCATTATTTAGCTTTGTGTTTAACAACAATCACAGTGGCAATATTTTGGCTACTGGATAGTTGTAATAGTCAACAAGCAGTAATAATCAGAAACACTCATTTTGATTACTGGATAGTTGTAATAGTCAACAAGCAGTAATAATCAGAAACACTCATTTTGGCTACTGGATAGTTGTAATAGTCAACAAGCAGTAACAATCAGAAACACTCATTTTGGCTACTGGATAGTTGTAACAGTCAACAAGCAGTAATAATCAGAAACACTCATTTTGATTACTGGATAGTTGTAATAGCCAACAAGCAGTAATAATCAGAAACACTCATTTTGATTACTGGATAGTTGTAATAGTCAACAAGCAGTAATAATCAGAAACACTCATTTTGGCTACTGGATAGATGTAATAGTCAACAAGCAGTAACAATCAGAAACACTCATTTTGATTACTGGATAGTTGTAATAGTCAACAAGCAGTAACAATCAGAAACACTCATTTTGGCTACTGGATAGATGTAATAGTCAACAAGCAGTAATAATCAGAAACACTCATTTTGATTACTGGATAGTTGTAACAGTCAACAAGCAGTAACAATCAGAAACACTCATTTTGATTACTGGATAGTTGTAATAGTCAACAAGCAGTAACAATCAGAAACACTCATTTTGATTACTGGATAGTTGTAAGAGCCAACAAGCAGTAACAATCAGAAACACTCATTTTGATTACTGGATAGTTGTAATAGTCAACAAGCAGTAATAATCAGAAACACTCATTTTGATTACTGGATAGTTGTAATAGTCAACAAGCAGTAATAATCAGAAACACTCATTTTGGCTACTGGATAGTTGTAATAGTCAACAAGCAGTAACAATCAGAAACACTCATTTTGATTACTGGATAGTTGTAATAGTCAACAAGCAGTAATAATCAGAAACACTCATTTTGATTACTGGATAGTTGTAATAGTCAACAAGCAGTAATAATCAGAAACACTCATTTTGGCTACTGGATAGTTGTAACAGTCAACAAGCAGTAATAATCAGAAACACTCATTTTGATTACTGGATAGTTGTAATAGTCAACAAGCAGTAACAATCAGAAACACTCATTTTGATTACTGGATAGTTGTAATAGTCAACAAGCAGTAATAATCAGAAACACTCATTTTGATTACTGGATAGTTGTAATAGTCAACAAGCAGTAATAATCAGAAACACTCATTTCGGCTACTGGATAGTTGTAATAGTCAACAAGCAGTAACAATCAGAAACACTCATTTTGATTACTGGATAATTGTAATAGTCAACAAGCAGTAACAATAAGAAACACTCATTTTTATTATTATTTTTTTACAATAAGTGAATTAATAGTAATTTCATGTAACTCTATTTGATGTACTCGATGCTCAAAGGTAACTTTTTAATTCAGTTAATTATCCAGATCTACTTCTTAACCTAGTCCTGTAAGATAACTCTTTCACCCAAGGAACCATCCTCTGAACCCTCTACAGCAAGTCTATAGCCTTTCTTAGATAAGGAAACCAGAACTGTAAATAATATTCCAAGTGAAGCACAGCTAGCAGTTTGTATAGCAAGAGAATTGCTTCTTTTTGATTTGTAAACAATATGTCTATGAATACACCCAAAACATTTTACTAGCTTCACTACCAGCAACAGAGTTGGGGTAAGGGACTTATCCACCACTGTACCAAGATCCATTACATCAGTAATACTACTGAGTCGGTTCCCATCTGCATCAAATGTGTGCTCCAAATTATAACCCTAACATGTTACTTTACAGTTTGTTTAATTAAAGGTCATATAGATTTCTCCAACTTATCAAATGATTCAAGTCATTCCATTACACTTCAATATCCTCCATACAGCTACAAATACCCAAGTGTTTAATGTCATCAGTCATTAATGTAATAATAAAATGTCTGACCTTAGGCACTAGTAACAAAGGTTCAGTCAGAATGAACTCCACTGATAAAAACTTTGATCTCAACCAACTAGTGCTGCCCCTTGCTAATATTCTGCATCACACCTTAACAAAAGCCTTTTAAAATCTAATTGCACTGAATCCACATCATCTCTACCATCCAGATAGTACACGACATCCTCAACAAATATGTAATTCACAATTTCTGTTTAATGAATCTGTGTTAATCTATTACACAATATGATCTTGCAAAACTTCTTTTAACAGACTCTCTAGAATTTTGTTTTCACTATAGAAATACGACAAATTAGAACTTTTATCAAAAATAGAAGTAATGTTACTAACTAATCATCAAGTATCATCCCACTGAGAGTAATGTTAGTAACTCTAATCATCAGGTCCCTTCCCACTGGGAGTACTGTTAGTAACTCTAATCATCAGGTCCCTTCCCACTGGGAGTACTGTTAGTAACTCTAAGGTACCTGATGATTCCCACTGGGAGTACTGTTAGTAACTCTAATCATCAGGTATCTTCCCACTGGGAGTACTGTTAGTAACTCTAATCATCAGGTACCTTCCCAATGGGAGTACTGTTAGTAACTCTAATCATTAGGTATCTTACCACTGTTTTACCTACCACAAATGAAAGTGAGAGGATAAACACAGGATTAACTTTATAAATAATTTTAAATCCAGCTAAACAGACAATTTTATAAACTATTTTAAAAACAATTAAACACTTGAACAACTTCATAAACTACTTCAAATACTGATAAACAGTTATACAACTTTATAAATTACTTAAATAGAATTAAACAGCCAACATTATAAACTGTTTAAATACCAATAAATATTTGTACAATTTTATAAGCTAATTTAAATACAGCTAGACAGTTATACAACCTTATAAACTACTTTTAATATGGTTAAACACTTGGACAAGATCATAAGGTATTTTAAATATAACTAAACAGTTGGACAACTTTATAAATCATTTTAAATACAGTTAAACAGAAAATGTTTTAAATTTCTTAAATACCAATAAATAGTTGGAAAACTTTATACACTAGTTAAATACAACTAAAAGAGTTGAAGAAATTTACACAAACTTTTGTTAGATAATTTGATAAGATGAAAAATACTAAGTCTAACCCACTTAATGATAATAAAATCATTTTAATTCTTGAACTTCAAGTTCTACAAGTTAGCCATACTGATGTTCATTGATAGGCTTAAGTACACAGCATATGCTAATATTAAAATTTTCCCTATATGAAAATATATTTCAGACAGGTACTCATCTCGCTATAGAAGAATTAACTAGCACCTGAACACTACTGAAAATATTGTTGGAAGAGCTCTCACCACTGCATGCAAAGAAGGCTAGTAGTCCAAGCAGCACTTGATGAGAAATTGCATCTATCTTTAGATGGAATACTCTTTGTCCAATTGTTGTTGTTCAGAAACATTCTTTCAAAAGAACTTCCTACTTTTTGTAAAATGTCATACAGTTGGGCAGAACGTGG